ATACAAATAATGGTATTAGAAGAAAAGTCAATTAAATGTACAGTTAAGTTAAATGTAAGGAAGTACGAAGTTTGAACGAAAAATAGAGATATTTAGAGAGTGGAATGATTAATGGAATAGCACTGGTAGACATTAAAATATGAATTTTTCTAAAGTTGGGTATACACAATAATAGGGAGACAGATAACAGTTTCTAAGATTAGTATAGGCAGGGCAACATAAGAGAAAATTCATCTTCAACAACATGCATATTACAATATTTACAAAGTCTATTATTTCTATGTACATTTGTATATCTACCAGTTTCGATTGCCAGACTGTGAGAACTACATCTGAAGTTTGAGAAACATTTCCTATATTTTGGTATGATAAAATGATTTAAATATGGTTTAAAATCCAAATTGTACGTAAATAGATTATAAAAATGTAATTTTGATGAACTAAAGCGTGAACTATTCCATTGTTGGATATATTGATCAATTAAACGTCGTCTGTACCTATTGGGGACATAGCAATGGTAACTTCCCCTTGGTTTAACCAGTCACATGAAAACCCCAAACATACATTTTACGTTATAGGCCCAATTACACTTTTTAAATCTATTAGACATATAAAGACTATTACATGTTACATTATAAATAAAATATAGTATTGAGTTTTTATCTGATACAATTCTTAACCAGTATTTTAAAATTATTTCGATACGTTTAAAATATAATGGAGTGACCCCTAGCTCCCCATAGACTGCATGTGAAGGCGTAGGTGATTTAACTCCCAGTATTTTTTTACAAAAATTAGTGTGGACTCTTTCAATATCGGGACCAGTACGGAAACCCCATAAAGCACACGCATAATTCAAAATAGAGCCGATATAGCAATTAAATAGTTGATATAGCTGATTTACACTTAAATATACATTGTTAAAAACATTACATAACTGATAAACACCCTTACTCCCCTTTACAGATATAGATTTTTGAGTAGTATTGAACAGATCGTTACTAGAGAATTCAACACCAAGATAATTAAAAGATTTTACATTTTCTAAATAGCCATTATATTCAAAAATATTATCTAAATTAGCACGACCTTTCTTAAATATCATAGTTTTAGTCTTAGAAATATTAATATCAAGTTTCCATAAAGTACAGTACACTTCAGTCTGTTTAAAAGTGATTGAAGGCCTGCAGCAGAAAGAGATAGAAGTGTACTATCGTCGGCATAATAAAATAG